TACGGATACATTTACGGGCATGTCTGACCATGTACAAGCTCAAACAGAGACTGTGAGGACAACAGGAAGGCCCTTGTTTTATATGGCAAGTTAGAGTACGTTCCATGAACGTGATTCGTTGTGACTGTGAGTCAGTACAGGAACAAGGATGTAATACCAGAAAATAATACAAAATGGCTCCAGGGACCGTAACATAATACCAACAACTGAGGGCTCTTGCTAAGACAAAACTCAACACCTGGATATAGCCCTTATAATGGCTATATTACATAAGCCTCAGAGATGATATCTCATATATCACGGCTTCCATAACACGGAACAATTTAATAATCTCACTTGCAAGTGACATTACAATTAAGATTGTTGTAGATGTTCACATTCATCTTTAACAGAATCACTTGAGTTTTGTGCAAATATAACTCAGTGGCCAATTCATTATGCACACCACCTGGTTCACAAAATGTGATCCTTCATACACACACTGAGTCAGAAGGCTGAGGCTTGCTGTAACAAAAGCCTCAAGAAAGCAACAAGAAACAAAACACATGTATAAACTCCTGTCGATCAGAACCAGCCTTACTTTTGGACACTTCACTCGCAACCGTGACAAAGGTCAAAGAAAATGGTATGACAAATAAAATACAAAACTGGGAAAGTCTTGGTTCGACATACAGTATCTGAGTATTTTACTGGCCTGCATGGACCCCTTAAACCAAACGAGTGTATTTGGGATGAGATTAAATAAGCACATTTATTCATTAATGTACCCTCATCCAATCCGCAGTAACTGTATGATGCCATTATGTCATTATGGATCAAACTTCCAATTGAACGATCCTGCCAATATTTAGAATACATCCTTTGAAGAATTCTGACTGTTATGGAAGCAAACTGACTTCTGAATGCATATTTTGCTCCATAAAATATTGCTCCTACATAAAAATGTTTCCATGTACTTGAGGAGGTGGCGCGTTTCAGATAAACATTAGTCAAATGGGACTGTAGGTAGGAGTGAAATGCTGTCTAGAACAGCAGGGACAGACCGCATCATAATGGGATGAGCATGTGCTGTAGCAGAAGTCTGCACCTAGCCGTGTTGATAATTAAGCCCAGTGTACCTCTGGGAAATTAGGCTAATGGTCTTGTTTCTTCTTGAATCACCTCAGATCCTAGATGGGTTTGACTGGAGGTGATCATGCAGGAAAAAACACAGCATGGCACACACACACACACACACACACACACAAACACATGCCCTGAACATTTCCTGTAAATTATTCAGCCTTTTAAAGGAGAATGTAGAAGTTCTAGCTGTTTCCAGGATTTAATATTTTATAAAAAAATCCAACAATTGTGCATCCTGATAAAATTTGAAAGAATAGGCTTCCTAGTTATTCTTGTTCAAATCAGAATTATTAAAAAAGAATAATACGGTAATAGCGGAATAAATTAAACATGATCGTACTACTTTTTAATTGAGAAATACACACATGGATCTAAAGTTGTATTTGTTATTTTTAATCAACTCAATACACAGTCTAAGTCACCACAGCAATAGTTTAAACTCATAGCCGTGTAAACCCATAGCTTGTATACCCAGTATACAAATATTTCTATGTTATTAGTTTATATAACACAATTATATATTTATAAAAGGCGAAGGAAAGACTTATTTAAACATTGCATATATTCAACAGTTCCATATTATTTATATTATTTATTTATTATTTATTATTTATATTATTTATTTATTATTCCTTAACATTTAACATTTCCTTATTTATTGTTCCTTAACAGTTTATGTACCAGGTAGAGGGTAGTGAGTTTAAAGAGTAAATTCCTGTATCCCGGTTCTCCCTGAGTCAGTGTGGATGAAGAATCGCCACAGTGTGGATGAAGAATCGCCACAGTGTGGATGAAGAATCGCCACAGTGTGGATGAAGAATCGCCACAGTGTGGATGAAGAATCGCCACAGTGTGGATGAAGAATCGCCACAGTGTGGATGAAGAATCGCCACAGTGTGGATGAAGAATCGCCACAGTGTGGATGAAGAATCGCCACAGTGTGGATGAAGAATCGCCACAGTGTGGATGAAGAATCGCCACAGTGTGGATGAAGAACCACCATGTAAATGAGTAACATATTGTGGATGAAATACACAGAATTGAGGAGCAGTGTTGATAAAAGATCATCATTGAATTGACTAACATAGAGTTGATGATGGATCAACATAAAAAAGAGAAACGGAAAATGAGATATCCAACCAAAAATAAATGAAATACTACACAGAGTACCCAGGTTAATAATTCATTCTAAAACCCACCCATTTTACCATGTCATTAATTATTTGCACACTTTTGAAAATTCATTCAGATCTAGTTAGCCGGTGTTACAATCCAAAATGCTACATATTGCTGCATTCATGTTCTTCATACTTGATTTCTATCTAGTTAATTGAAGTTTATAGTAAACACCAAACTGTTTAATAAATGCAAAAAATAAAAGGCCAGAACTACCACAACAATTATCTAGTCTATAGTAGGCAAAATCCCACTGTAGCTAAGCTCTCTAGTCACTATTGCTCTACCCACTCACAGTCTACGCTCAAGCAGGTACATTGCCTTAGTCACCCCGAAAGTCTGCTCCACTTTCAGCCACCAATGACTGGAACGAATTACAAAAACCCCTAAAACTTGAAATCCTTATCTGAACCATTGCCTATAGGGTACTTCTTTCTGAACTTATTTATTTTTTACTTTTCCCATGCCCAACTTGCACAGTGGATCATTTTCACCTGTACTGCTGTCATACCTGTTTACATTCTTTGAATTAGCCTATTATCACAGTCATACAATTTGTGCACACAAATGACCTACCTGCTAAATACACTTTGTACAATCTGTGTATAGACTCTACTTTGTGTTTTATATAGTTGTTATTGATATATCAATGCTGCTCATCTGACATACTTATTATACCTCATTCTGTATTAACTGTATATTGACTCTCCACTTGATCCTGTATTGACATGTAGAACACCACTGTTATTTGCACTCTTGTATTCTGTGTATTTATTGTGTAATCCTGTACATGTACATATACATATGTTGTCCTGTACATTTTTGCTTTATATTGGGCAGGTCACTGTTGCAAATAAGATTTTTTTCTCAATCGGCCTACCTCGTTAAATAAAGGTTAAATACAACCAAAAAAAGTATCTAGCAAACTAACAGAGGGCAATTAGCTAGATAGTTTCATTAATTGTATTAGTTGATCATCAATGCACTTACACAACACAGCCTAAAATCGTAAAACTCTACCAGAAACCATATCTCTAGAAAACTAGCTATAAAAGTTAACACCAAACCTCTGAAAATTAACACTGAGCTCATGAATAATAAATGCATGAATGAACAAATATATAAACTTGCTTAGGACAAATACAACAGATCTTAACTGTTCAGTAAGTTGTTAAGAGAGAACAAGCAGAACAGAAAGAGAGGCACAGACAAAACGATGTGTGCGTTATGTAATTGGTCCATGGGTTATATAGTCAACAGGCTGACCTTTCTTAGTCAGGAGGACAGACTAACGCCAGCCACAACACTGTTACAGAAATAATGCTCTCCACATACATACATGATTGCAACTCACTAACTACAAATGTGAAAGATTTTTATTGACAAACAAAGTAGAAGATATGCTAGAGTTCTGATTCAAAAGGCCACTACTGTGTCTTAAATTAACTAAAATCATTACTTCATCGATCGTTACAATAATTTCTTAACTGTATGAAATTGTATTAGACTGTAGGTAAAGAGTTGATCATGATCACAATCAGTTTTTTCTGAAATAAAAGAACCTGTTTACCTGTTGAAAAATAGATGTAAAGTGTGAAAATAGATACGAGAGAGCCAGGAACAGGTGAATAGAGGGAATGAGAGACACCTAATTAGAATACATTGACAATATAAGATGAGATGGTCTATACAGTTGCCCGAAAGAAAGAAGAAATAAAAGAAAGGAAGAAAGAATCAAATGAAAGAAAGAATATTACCATCCAATTACCATACCTTCTAGGCAGCCTTGAGGACAATAAGGATGACGGAATATCGAGCTTGAAGGCTCTGTTAAAAACATTGCTCAATGAATATTCCCTATGAACTGACAAGAGGACGAAATTACTATATGTTAATTAGGTTACTTAAACATTTCTGACAAGATGAGAACAAAATCGCTCCTGCGGCCTATAGATGAAAAAGACGAAAAAAAGACAAAGAATTCGTGTATTTCCGTTCCCAACACGAGTGATCCGAAGAAGCAGCGTATGCAAATCTGTCATTGATGTAGCCAACCAAAAACATGTCTATGCCTCATCCAATCTATCACCCTAATTACTTTCATTTCCATATCTCTATCCATGTTTTAATGTTGCAAATTAATTCATGTCAGACAAATTGGTTGTCTTTGATTTGCTTATCCAATGGTTGGCGCTCGTGCGTCCCGAAAGCGAACGTTAAGCCAAAACAGAATGAACCAGTCAATCACTCCACACGTCCGATGTGGCCTGCTAATCCCCGTAGGAGATTTGCATGACAAAATACAATGTACATGAGAAGAAATCAAGATACGAAAGATGTATTCAACTTTTATGATTTCATCTGTTTTTGCACTGATCCTTAGTTTCAGAGGGACTCCTTGACATCTGTAAGCGTTGCCTCCTGAAGTGTTTGTCTAGGGTCTGGTTTACAACACAAGGCTGGAGACACAATAGCAATGCTACATAAATGTTCTATTCAATTACTTGAGGGACTATGACATAAAACCTCATGGTCCAGAATGGGGGGAAATTGCAGTCTTTGTAGTCAGTGTTCAAGGAGAAATAGCAGCCCACATGAAGAAACCAACCATACAGTTTACTTTACTATACTGCACTACTCACTATAGAACAGTCTGCCATTCCAATGAGCAGCAGAGTAGTCCAGTGGTTTATTAAACAGTTGGTGTAGCTCAGTGGTAGAGTGCATGCTTATGAATGATGTCCTGGGTTCAATCCCCAGCTTATCTCTAGGTTTGTTCTCAATCGTCCTAACTGGTTATAATGAAAAAATAAAAGCATACAGTAGAATGCCAGACCAGTAGCACTGCAGTTCCAAATATATCCATATGTAAGCATGCATCTATCTGGTAAATGTCCAGTACATAGCCTGGATACTTCCCTGTCATTGTATTTACATGTGATAATATACCACAAACCCCTTGTTGCCATATAAACAAGTTAACAACACAAATATAACAGTCATTGTAAATGAATAGCCTTCATTTCTCAGAACAAAATTTGACTTGGTACAGTTAGTAAGTGAAACCACAATTGTTGATGCTCTAGATACTGATCTAGAGAATATTTTGAATCAGCACAACAGTTTTCATATGTGTGTTACTGTGTGGCTGCCTGTACATGTGTGTGTGTTACTGTGTGGCTGCCTGTACATGTGTGTGTTACTGTGTGGCTGCCTGTACATGTGTGTGTTACTGTGTGGCTGCCTGTACATATGTGTGTGTTACTGTGTGGCAGCCTGTTCATGTGTGTGTGTTACTGTGTGGCTGCCTGTACATTTGTGTGTTACTGTGTGGCTGCCTGTACATGTGTCTGTGTGTGTTACTGTGTGGCTGCCTGTACATGTGTGTGTGTGTGTGTGTTACTGTGTGGCTGCTTGTATGTGTGTGTGTTACTGTGTGGCTGCCTGTACATGTGTGTGTTACTATGTTGCTGTCTGTATGTGTGTGTGTTACTGTGTGGCTGCCTGTATGTGTGTGTTACTGTGTTGCTGTCTGTATGTGTGTGTGTACTGTGTGGCGGCCTGTATGTGTGTGTGTACTGTGTGGCTGCCTGTATGTGTGTGTGTACTGTGTGGCGGCCTGTATGTGTGTGTGTACTGTGTCGCTGCCTGTATGTGTGTGTGTACTGTGTGGCGGCCTGTATGTGTGTGTGTACTGTGTGGCGGCCTGTATGTGTGTGTGTTACTGTGTGGCTGCCTGTATGTGTGTGTTACTGTGTCGCTGCCTGTATGTGTGTGTGTACTGTGTGGCGGCCTGTATGTGTGTGTGTACTGTGTGGCGGCCTGTATGTGTGTGTGTACTGTGTGGCTGCCTGTATGTGTGTGTGTACTGTGTGGCGGCCTGTATGTGTGTGTGTACTGTGTGGCGGCCTGTATGTGTGTGTGTTACTGTGTGGCTGCCTGTATGTGTGTGTTACTGTGTCGCTGCCTGTATGTGTGTGTGTACTGTGTGGCGGCCTGTATGTGTGTGTGTACTGTGTGGCGGCCTGTATGTGTGTGTGTTACTGTGTGGCTGCCTGTATGTGTGTGTTACTGTGTCGCTGCCTGTATGTGTGTGTGTACTGTGTGGCGGCCTGTATGTGTGTGTGTACTGTGTGGCTGCCTGTATGTGTGTGTGTACTGTGTGGCGGCCTGTATGTGTGTGTGTTACTGTGTGGCTGCCTGTATGTGTGTGTTACTGTGTCGCTGCCTGTATGTGTGTGTGTACTGTGTGGCGGCCTGTATGTGTGTGTGTACTGTGTGGCGGCCTGTATGTGTGTGTGTACTGTGTGGCGGCCTGTATGTGTGTGTGTACTGTGTGGCGGCCTGTATGTGTGTGTGTACTGTGTGGCTGCCTCCATGTGTGTGTGTGACAGGACATAGCCTTAGCTGAGGGTAATGAATTCCTCCAGGAGACAGAGGGCCCCGCTGCGCTTCTGTAATGAAGCAGGGACCCGCGGTGACTCCTGACCCTAGGCATTAAATTGAAATGAAAACCATTACCTTTTGCTCACCATCACGCCTGCAGGGGCCCTGTGGGTGGAGAGGGGTGGATACGAGGCCAACAGGGGCCCTGTGGGTGGAGAGGGGTGGATACGAGGCCAACAGGGGCCCTGTGGGTGGAGAGGGGTGGATACGAGGCCAACAGGGGCCCTGTGGGTGGAGAGGGGTGGATACGAGGCCAACAGGGAGGCTGGAGGTGCAACAGCAGGAGGCTAGACTTGACTGTACATTAATCACATCACTATCCTCCACTCACTAATAGCCAGGCTCCAGATAATCCCCCTAGGCTGAAGAGTTGCTTCCTGAAGTGTTTGTCTAGGGTCTGGTTTACAACACAAGGCTGCAGACACTATGGGAATGTACCATACATTTCCTATTGTTTGCCCACATTAAAGTAATCAACCAAATGGTTTACTTTAGTAGACTACACTAGTTATTATAGAAAAGAAGAGTCTGTAGAACTCTGGTGAACACCAGTTTTTAGTGGCCAAAGGTGGTCGAGTGGTGGTTTAAGTCCTGAATGCTGGATAATATTGAGGTCAGGGCTATGCGCGGGCAACTGCAATACCTTGACTTTGTTTTTCTTAAGTAATTTCACCACAACTTTGGAAGAATGTTTAGGATCATTGCTTCTGACGCTTGGAAGACCCATTTGCATCATGCTTTAACTTCCTAATGTGTAGAGATTGTGCTTCAATATATCCACATAATATATGTAATACATATAATATAATATATTCCTCAAGATGTCATCTATTTTGTGAAGTCTACTAGTCCCTCTTGCGGTAAAACACCCACACAACATGATGCTTCCACGCCCAGCCTTCACAGTTAGAATTGTGAACAATCGTCAGATCTTGCGTCATACACAAAGCACTGACTAACTGACTTTCCAAAACTATAGAATACCAACATGAAATCTGTGGAGTGGTTGAAATTTAGTTTTAATCAGTTCAACGTAAGTGTATGTAACCTTCCGACTTCAACAGTTTTACAGTGGATAGTGACAAAAGACTACAGAACCCGTATTTAAAAAATTCACCTATTGTGTATATATATATATATATATATAAATGCTGAAATTGATCTGGCTTAGTTTCATAAAATGTATAAGATATAAGAGGAATGTATTAGTGTTAGTTTAACGGTTAGGTAAAGGGTAAGGTGAAGCATTAGGGATAGGTTTCTGGTTTTAGGTTACGGTTTAGGTTAACATTTTTATTATACGATAGGGCAATCAAATTAGGATGGGTAATGATAATGATTAGGGCAATGTTCAGAGGTGAAAACAGTGTGGGATAGTGAACAAGGCTTGTGTATAGAAGCTGTACAAGAAATTGAGAGACAGAGAACAAGTATAGACTTGACTCACTATGTAAGATGTTCAGTCTGTCCATATACATTAGGATGACGTGCAAATAGATACAACGGCTAGCCTCTTCTACTGTTCACTGGTTTCACAAATTGCACTTCTTCAGCACTAGATCTCTGGTCCAAGCTCAATCTCATGGAAATACAGAAATATGGAAAGGTCAGAAAAAGAGCATGTATGCACTGTGCCAAATAATGTACAAATTGACTGGGCTTAGTTTTAAATAGTGAAGTGTTCTTAGTCACTACCTCCGGCGCACATGTACTCCGGCACACATGTACTGCTGCAGCATGAGTTCAATATATATTTTCCGGTGGAAAAAGTCATTCAACAATTTTTGCTTAATAGATACAGCTATATACATTTGTACATATAAACAACAAAAGTATGATATCACAGGATTCTTACATTTCCCTTGACATACAGACACACACACACACACACATAAAGGTATAATGGCTGCCCATGCTAATTGAGTCTTCTCTCACATCTCACTGGTCAAGCAGGTCAATGAGAACCCTGGGAGGCGATAGACACCTGATAATCTGTGACATTCACAGTGTGACCACACGCTGCCTTATATTCTATTCTAATGAATCTCCATGTATAGGAGAAGGTCTGCAAAATGGAATGTTCCTTTGTAATGAAGGAGAGAGAGAGTGTGTGACGTGAGCGAGCGATGATTATACTTTTTTAACACATCTTGGGGATATCTTGCTCTGTCATGACAATTCACTGCTTTTTCTAATGAGCTGTCCTGAAACAAAGACCTGGACTCAGACTTAACCTGACTGTCATTATGACATGGGCTCTTCATTAAATACATGGGCTGTGTCTTAATGACATGGGCTGTGTCTTAATGACATTGGCTCTGTCTAAAATACCTGTATTGGGTTTTAATGAAGGTCTCTTAATGACATGGGCTGACTCTTAATGACTTGGGCTGGCCCCTAAATGACATGGGCTCAATCTTAAACACCTGGGCTGTTTCTCAATGAGTCCTGAAAAACGACAGTTGTTGAGATCCATTTAAAAACCCAAGAATCAGAGCAGTTCCCTAGGTAGTTAGTTAGGGGAAACAATGACATTTTAACTGCTGACAACTATGAACAGGTGATTCTCACACACTCTGGCCTGTGTGTGGTGGAATGACCCTTTCTAACCTCTGACTCTGCATTGTAACAACCTCTGTAACCAATGACCTGCCCCCACAAAGCCACACCCCCTCCTGCCCACACTGACTAACAGCCAGGGAGCGTGGGATTGAACTTTGGCCTCTGCCTATTTGTTGTGAAATGCTGAGCCTTTAATAAAACACAATGATACATATCAATGTGTTCTTACAGCTGTCAGTCGATCACAGCCACAACAGCTTGGTTTGTTTGGTTCCTGATTTCCTACTCATTGATTCAGCCTGAATCAAAGAACCCCAGTCGTGGCACCAGCTCCCCTTGCGCTCTGGCAGCAGAAGCCCTGATCATCTTCTGGAAATGTTTGAGAAACAAAAAATAAGAAGAAACGACTGAAAAACGATCTGAAGTAAGACAATTGTATGTTTGGTGTGTGTGTGTGTGTGCACGATCGTGTGTGTATGTTGGTGAAGGTTAAGATTTGATAAGCCCTCATCTTCTCCTCGCCTTGAGGATCCTCAAAACAGGAATAATTTGTCACAAGGAGAGAAAAACATAATTTTGCCTGGAGTGATGAGGTCAGACGTGTGTGTGTGTGTGTGTGTGTGTGTGTGTGTGTGTGTGTGTGTGTGTGTGTGTGTGTGGCGGAGACACAATGATAACTGTGGGTTAATGGCTAGGAACTACATTTCCTGGAGAACAAGACAAGCATAAATGGGTGTTTGTCCAGTGGTCAATGTTAAT